AATAACTTTAATGCAAATAGTACATCTCAACTCAATTACTGCTAAGCTGTCTGCACATCACTTTGAGACGGAATAGTGGGAAGTACTACAGAAGCGCTCTCTCTCCCTGTTTGTCATTCCATTTTCTGTAAAAAAAAGTTATGCAGTAGTCGCTTTAATTTAAAGGGTAGTAATAGCCTACTTGTAGGTTCCGAGAAACTACAGGAAAAACTACAGAGACTCTGTCATATCTCGACCCGCCTTGTGAAAACTTAAAGTATATGAAGATCATGCCAGTGTCCTGCGGCGTAAAATTTTAAGGTCTTTTTTATAACAGACTTGTGAATCTGAGCGTTTAAATTTCTGTGAAATTTCGAGCTCTGTTTGGAGGATGACCGAAACCTGCCATTTCCGGCGAGTACATTGAAACATTTCCTACTTGTTTGCAAATTTCTTGCACAAAGGCATTCCTTGTGTAGATCTTCCAAGCTCTTGTGTTGTCATGTGCTGCTTGTTTTCTTACTACCTCAACCTAGCCGCGAGGAACGCCATCTTGAGAACATCTTCATGATGTACATTTCCGCCTCCTTTCTGTGCATCTCAAAACTGACATTCGCTGTATTTGTGCAAGTCATACTACAAAAAGAACTATATTTCATAATCAGAATTATTGTCGGGATTCTTTAAGAAAAGACGAGCCTTTCGAAGTGAAGCACTTCATGAGCCCGTATTTATTGAGCCCTAAGGGAGTGGTCGAATTCTTTGGTCAGGTGCAGTGACCATGAGTGGCATAATGTAGATGACAAATTTCACGAAAGAACCCTCTCAGAGTCCTGTAAGAGTTTATTAAGGGCTCAAACATATGCAGTGAAATTGTTGTCGAGAGAACAACAGTTTCTTTCTAGAAAATTCGGAAAGTCTAACATACTCTCAGTTGCTTTCATACGCATGATGGTGGTTACCAAAAATTTTCGACAATTCGAATTACTGAATAAGACTTGTGAATGAATCTCAGTTCTGAGCGTAATACTCAAATGTCAATATTTATGATACAAAGGTAAACGGTAAAAAATGTAAAGTTGTTCCTGTGCTTAACTAATTCATCACTACACCACGAAGGCGTATGTGGGAGTGGGTGTATAGATCCATATTTTTTTGACCTCAGCTCTTGTCGGAAGAGACTGGTCAGCTTCGCACCCCGGCATCTTTAACCTCTGGGAAAGAGCCCCCCATACCCATTGGATAGGAGGCTGGGTGGACCCCAGAGCAGGCCTGGACGACGTGGAAAATAGAAAATTCTTCACCCTACCGGGACTCGAACTTCGACCTCTTGGTCGTCCAGCACGTAGTCGCTATATCGACTGAGCCATCCCGGCTCACATGCTATAAAGGTAGTGTTAAGAACAGTATTTTGCCCTAAACGAGAAGTAACAAGTGATTTAAAAAATATTGCATACAAAGGAGATTAACAGTAGTTTGCATTTTTCGCCACTTATTAGTATGGCTGAAATAAGGAGGAGATGGGTGAAAACATAGCACACAGGGTGAAAATCAGAAATATATATAATAATGCTATTAGAAAAATCAAAACAAGAAGCCACTTGGGAGATATCGCCGTACATGGGAAACTAGCATTGAATATGAAGAATGCCGTCTTCTGGGATGTGGCGCCGTGTAGATATTTTGTTAACCGACGTTAACTGCATCTTCAAGGTATAAAATATCCGCGAGCGATGAACCAGTGTGAGCAGTTGTCTGCAGAGTGTAGTCTGTAGACTGTAATTTGTAGACACCTGTTCACGCTGGTTCATCGCTGGCGGATTTCTTATACCCTGAAGATGGAGGCGATACGTTCTCCCGAAACAAAATATCTACACGGCGCCACGTCCAAGAAAACGGCATTCTTCATAGTCACCGCCGTGAACACCTCAAATCTTACAACAGTGAATAAGATTTTAATAATGATACGAAGTTGTGAATTGAATTAAAGTGGCTCAGAAATGGGCCCAGTCATAATATTTTATGAATATGGTAAAGCTCTTTCATGTTCTATGAAAGCGGATAATGTCTCAGCTACCTGAGCGAGATTTTTCTCTTTTTCACAACGTCCAGACTGGGTCTGGTGTTCACTCTGCCCCATTATTGAAGATTTTCCCTACGGGTAAAGCGGCAGGAGTCCGAAGTTGTCTATTCGCACCCATCCAGTGGCGAGGTTAAGAATTCGTGGAGCCATATCTTCACTCTCCCATACGTCTTCATCGCGTAATGCAAGTACACCGAGAACTTTGCATACAGTTTTACCTAAGCGATTGCCACGTGTTCAACAGACCCTGAACCATGGAGTTAGTTTAACTAATAGAAAGTGCAATTAGAATAAAAGGAATTACATTTAAGGGTTAATGATGAGGTCCATGTTACATAAATATATGGAAACGTAACCAAGATCAGTAACCCGTTTGTCCATTGAGATCTGTAATCTCAGTTTAATCTATTGGCTCGGAGACATTTTTCATTAACCAGTTCATGTTACAGTTTTGTTACATATACAGAGCGTGAGCAACATAATGGGTTCTTCTGCGAACGGTTGCAGTACTTCACGTTTTCTTTTCAGATTCATTATCACACGAAGGCTTATGGCAATATGATTCTCAGGTCATTACCCAACTTGCTATATGGAAGAATCTTGTTTTATTTGTTCAAGTTCACCGACCATAAACCAAGGTTAAGAGTTTCATCAGAGTGGTTTATTCGCAAAAGAAAAAAGACTGGTAATGAAGGCCGCTGTCTCAACGGTCTGAACTACCTGAGTTTCAGTAGTGATGTCATCAGCTATCTCAGCCAGAGGCAGAGATACCAGATATGTAATATGTATGAAGTTACTGGAATGTGGATCGTGTATCGTGCTGTTCTCTGTTGTACAAATGTAACACTACGCCGATCTCGACGTCTGAGCCGACCAGGAGATGTCTGTATTGTCTTTTCTTATAAATCCGTAAACGAACAAAGAAAGAAAAAGGAAAACAACGAAGAATAAAAATATGAAGAACGAGACTGAAAATCGACAAAGAAATCATCTTGCAAGTCATCAACTACAATGGTTATTCAGAATGAAATATCAGAATAAGTGTGATTGTTAAGTGTAAGAAGGATCTGTTCTTACAGTATTTAACTATTCTGCATCTACTGTTGAGGTTATGTAGAATCAAATGAGATTACAAGATGATCATGCGGGATGAGAAGATAATTTGTTTAAAGTATTTGTGAAGTATTAGCACATCTTTCCTCCGTAGAGACTGAGTAACATCACAAAAGTTTCCACAAGAACAGCCGACAGGCAGACTAAAGTGCAAAAGAAGTATGTCTTGAATATACGTATAGACTGCAACACTACATCAGTCTGTCTCACTGTGGGTTATTTCATTCCTGCATCATTTACAGAGGTTATTTGAGACTGTGATTAAAGGCGTGAACGTCCATGAAAGATAAATGTAACCAGGAGTCTGGGATCTAGGAAAATAAATTGGTCTTGATATATCAACATGTTTCCCAAAACATTGCCTCGAGAAAGTGCGGAAAACCGCGAAATACAACAGCATAAGGCAATGCGTCGCCTGAGATTTGAAAAAGACGCCTCTCGATTTCAGTTCGGATGCATATTACTGCTAAGTTCTACCATATTAGCAACGTATTATATATTTAAATAAGCAAAATTATATAATGATGAGCAAGGTTTCTGAATTCCTTAAACTGCAAGACAAATTGTTTCAGAGGTCAAAGATTTGTTCAGGTCTGGTTGCTGTCTCACGTAATTCTAGGACGAAAAATTTAACATTGTGAAATCTTGTGATCACAGGTCATGGAATTGTCTCTACATCAACCAACTTAAAGATAAAGTTATTCCTGTCCTTAATTAAGCACTGCGCCATCAAGGCGTATGGGGGGGAGTGTACGTATAGATCCACCTCGACACTAGCAGGAGGTGAATATTCAGCTATACGCTCCGGCCGCTTTACCCCCGGCGAAAGAGCCCCCGGTACCCATTGGATAGGAAGGTGGGTGGGCCCCAGAGCGGGCCTGGACGACGTTGAGAAGAGAAGATTCCTGACCCTACCGGAACTCGGACTCCAACCCCTCTGTCGTCCAGTCCGTAGCCAGTCGCTATACGGACTACGCTATCCCGGCTCATCACGTCCAGCCAGTAGCCAGTCGCTATACCGACTGCGCTATCCCGGCTCCTCACGTCCAGCCAGTAGCCAGTCGCTATACCGACTGCGCTATCCCGGCTCCTCACGTCCAGCCAGTAGCCAGTCGCTATACCGACTGCGCTATCCCGGCTCCTCACGTCCAGCCAGTAGCCAGTCGCTATACCGACTGCGCTATCCCGGCTCCTCACGTCCAGCCAGTAGCCAGTCGCTATACCGACTGCGCTATCCCGGCTCCTCACGTCCAGCCAGTAGCCAGTCGCTATACCGACTGCGCTATCCCGGCTCATCAACCAACTTATTACCGAAAAAAAGATGTTAGCTTATTTAGTTGTAACATTCGGCCATTTATTTCTACAACTGAAATTTGTAGCTTGTAATCTAGAGAACTACTGTTTCTAGTTTATAGGGTACAAATTTCAGTTCATCTCCGGGTCGATGTGCTACATGCACTCGTCGACGTGCTGCTCTTCAGGCGTTAGCCAGCATATCTGCCTCAGGCTCTTGCATTCCGTTACCTCTCCCATTTTTAGACAAAGAAGTGGTAAAACATTTTAAGTAGCCAGTAGTCATTTTGACACATGGAAGGTAAACCTTTGCAAGTGTGTATTTTTGTTCTGTTGTGGTATGCTGCACTCTCATGCAGAATTGTGCCTGTCTGACATATTGTGCAAAGAAACATATTCTTTTTTTTTATTTTCCCATACAAGGTAAAATATTCTCGTATGTAATTTGAAATGGCAATTTGAGGTTATTTCAAGTCATCGTTAATTTGGAACGTTTCATGAAGAGGTTGAATATAACTGAGAAGTACGAAACTTCAAGTACAATTTTATTTGGAACAATTAGCCCTGGTTGTCTTGTAGGAAAAAACGGTAATTACGAATCTACATTTATTACAATCGTTTAAAATTCTCAGTATCTAGATTTCGAGAAAAATTGTTATTGTTATTTATTATACCCTAATTCAAATCTCTTAAAATTTACTTTTCTCTAGTTCCATCTCGGTTCAACAGAGACCAAGATCCTCGACGAGTGTTATACAGAAGTAACCCAAACATCTGGAAGTCCAGTCTCCAGGTACTTCGCGTGACTTTCGTGAACGTACTCGGAGAGATCATCCGGAGGCGTCACACTGTCAAGTTCTTCAGCTAGTGCCCAATAGCGCTTCCTCACAAGTTGTGCCGATGCCTTTGGCTGTCTGTCCCGCGTGAAGACTCCCTTCTTGTTCCCTCCAACTCGAACATAAGCTGTGGTATAAATAAGATATTTAAATATATGTATACACGAGTGTGTAATTTGACATATGCTTTCATCGACTACCATATGACCGAACACATAAGGAATATGTAAAATTGCTCACATAATTCCGTTTTGGATTTTGAGGACCATTATTAAGAAACAAGGGAGCACGCGGTAGCTTAGTTGGTTGAGGCACAATGCTACAAGCAGGAAGAACGCGGGTTCTTCTCCTGATGTCATTGGATTCTTCAATTTACCTAATCCTTCCAGCCGCACTATGACCCTGGGGTTAAAGGGCGGCCGGTCCGTGCATAGGGCTGGTAGCCTTACCGCCATCTGTGAGTCGATTATCTACAAAGTGTGGGAGCCTCGACGTCTCACAACCCTATGGGCCTTCATGGCCTGTTACAGGGATAGCTTTACTTTTTTTTTATTAAGAAACAAACATTCAGAAAATTCCGTAAGTTATATGTTATATAATAGGGCGAGAGATACAAATTATGTGCGATTTACAACACCAACTTAATTATTCAACTGGGAAAGTCAGTAACATGACGCAAATTTTGGTTAATGTTGCTTTCTTCCTTAATTTGTTTAGTGCTGCCTGAGAAGACCGACATCTTTAGCTTCTTCTAAAGTAAATGCCAGAAGTAGTTTGCATTTTTACTCAAAGCTGAATATCTTACATATAAGATATCAGATTAACCTACATGAAAACTTTTTGCTTTAGAATCAGTGTCCTGTATTAGTTCCGGATTATATTACTTTATTATTCCTGTAAAATATATCAGGAAAAGAAGTGATGATTAGAAAATGCTTATGCTTTCAAACAGATGCATAGATTTATGATATAACGACTTTAACAGGCATTTCTTTCTAGCTAAAATGAGATTATATGCCTTCCCCATCCACAAGTTCGATGTTATGTTGGCACCAGATTGATTACTGGGCTTAACAGAAAGTTATTCATGTTTGAAAGAATTCTTCAGTCGACATAAAATCCATTATGAATATTACCTACATATATTTAATTCCATCCCGTTAAAGATAATAATATGGCGGCAACCCATATACCTGAAGTAAGAAAAGTATTATCACTCTCAAATGTATGATCCTGAATTTATTGTTATTTGTACCTTATTGAAATACTTTATGAGTGAAAGGCTACAATGTGTCGATGTGATCATGAAATATTCAGTGTTGCCATCAAAGTAATAATTATTTTTAAAAAAACTAGAAGTTTTATGTAAATTCCACCAAATTAAAATGTTTCATAATAGAGCTAAGAAGCATTATGCCGTACTTACTCTGGGCTGTGTTGAAGTCTGCGAAATTCCAAATCATTTCTCCAATAAAGAAACTTTCGTTGCGAAGTTGATCAAATGCCTCGAAATGTTTGGACAATAATTTCACTTGGTATTCTTCTGACCATATATATTCTGGCGACTGAAATATATAAATAATAGCACATAGTTTCTTAAATTCCTTTTTAAATATACTTTAACACCTAAAGCATCGTTTCAAACACAATAATATATGTATCACAACAAAATGTTGTTACTGACTTTATTTGCCTAAGAGTTTTGGCAAGATGGCGTGGTTGCGCGTTTAGTTGACTGCCATTTTACGGCAACGACTTCCTCCACTCGTGGTGTTTAAACCTAAATAATGTATTTAATATACGAGGGGGTACCCAAAAGAAACCGAACTTTTTTTTTAAACTTATTTATTCAAATTTTAAGCACAAACCTTCAGTCCCCTTCAAAGTACTCTCCACTTACACTAATACACTTGTCTAGTCTTTTATTCTATTTTTCAAAACATTGTCTAAATTCATCTTTTGAGATGCTTGACACCGCCTCCGTCGTTTTTTCCTTTCATGTCTCTTTTCATTCGAGGAAACAAAAAAAGTCGTACGGGGCAAGGTCGGGTGAGTATGGAGGGCGAGGAACAGGGGTCATACCATTTTTGGTCAAGAATTGTCGTACAGATAGGGCTGTGTGAGCAGGGGCATTGTCATGATGGAAAAACCAGTCACCCGACTGCAACAAATCTGGCCGCTGAGCTCCAAGTCACTCCCGACAGCTCCACAATTTCTTCAATGGTCCGTCGCCGATCTTCCTTGATGATTTCACGAATTTTTTTCAACATTTTCATGTGTTCGGGCCGTGGAAGGACGACCAGAACGAGGTTTGTCATCAATTGACATTTCACCATTTTTGAAACGGGAAAACCACTCAAACACTTGAGTTTTCCCCATAGCATCGTCCTTGTACGCCGTTTTTAACACTTCAAGAGTTTCTGTTCCACTTTTCCCAAGCAAAAAGCAGCATTTCACCGCCGCACGCTGTTCACGAAAATCGGCCATTGCAAAAACGACGATCACACAAAACAGTTGTCACTATAAACTCTGCCGAAACTAGTCCTTACCTTCTGAAGCAACGGTAGTCGGCTTATCGACTCAGGAATGTTAGCTCTATGCGCACATAGCGGTAAAACGCCGTACTACAAAAGCTCTGCCCACAAAAAAATTAGTTCGGTTTCTTTTGTGTACCCCATCGTATATTGTGACATGTAGACCCATTGCCAAATAACAAATGTGCAAATAGGCGACAGAACAACAGCCGTTGTTAGGAAACAGTTCTGTGGACACGGTTTTTTCCCGGTAACGAGAGAACAAGCAATAGTGGAAGAGACATTTTCTGTGCGGTCGGTGCCTGGCTATGTGACGAAGACCAGCTAGCTGCCATTAACGAGATGGTCTTGAGACGGAAGTTATAAGAGTAAGGGGTGTGGTGAGTTTGGCCGCCAAGGTGCGAGGACGTGGGCCCTGGAGCAGAGGAACGCACATTGTTGAGTCAGTTGAGAGTTGCAATTGTGAGAAGGAAAAAGCTAGTAGCTAAGGCCGGGGACAATTCGGGAACTCAGGGGAAGGGGAACGTCTGGCGTTGGAAGCAGCTACCAAGCAACGGCTAGTGAAGACTGAGAAGAATTTATGTGTGCTGTAGTTACGGCGATCTTTTGAGTGTGTAACTCAGTGAAACTGTTGTAGTTTTTCGAGTGTAAGAGTCCAATAAATCCGATTACTAATCCAAATTCCGTCTATAGTTAGTCATGTGATAATGTGTATATATCATTCTTTCCTTTAGTGAGAGTCAGAGTTGCTTTGCGACTGGCGGTTTAACGCCAATCAGTTCGTCTTGGCGTCAAGCCCCTTGAGACTCATGACACAGTAGTTTTATTTTCCAACTGAACACTTGCGGTTATAGCCCTTATGTAACATCCTCCCTAACGAGAGGATGGGTCTTACGTTTACAACTGTTGCTGGTCCTCGTCAGTGCAGTCATTCTCAAGTTCGAGTACCGCGGAACTCATTATCACATTTTACTGTATCAGATTTGCGACTACCACAACCTTGACGGCTATGTCCTCGTATTTATATATCCCCCAGGGACATAGTGGCCCAGTTATACCCTAGGCACTGGGTTCCCTTTTCATCGCCTCCTACGACTCACAGGGCTACGGTGGAAGTATTCAACCCTACATCCACACTGGTTTTATTGCCTATATTCAATAAATTTCTTGTTTTACACTGCGAACCGAAAAGAGAAGACCCAAACATGAAATTAATTTCGTGTGTACAGTTCTAAAAATATTTGGCATCTGTACTGCTGAAGCAATGCAGAAGTCTTGGTTTATTGTTCCGATGAAGTACAAACCCTCGTCATAACTTTTGTACTGTATATTTTAATTTCTTCTGATCTTTAATTGTAAATGCTATATTGGAAAACATGTCCCTATTTTTGTATGTATATTTTAATTTATTCTGATTCGTATGCTTAGATATTGTGACGAATACTATAAATCATCATTATTTTCTTTAGCACAGAAACATTTCAGAGATATCATGCTTACATTAAATTTATGCACACTCAAACATTTCCCTGTGAATGAATTTCAGAATTCTTTATGAAGATCGGTAATATGGTATGTTTATTTCTTGAGAAGCCATGTTTTTCGTTACAGGTTTGGTCCACCTTTTCTTTACTCAAAACATGTGCGTGGAGGCTGATGTGTATAGTATTTTACGAGAATGTATGACAACAAGTTATGAAATGTGTTCCCATTGCCAAAGACTGAGAACTATATAATAATTTCACATTTTTACTAAGGAAGCAAATATAGTGACCAAACATGAATTAAAAATGATTATTTGAGTGTTATTTCTTCTTTAAAAATTATGTCAGCTATATTATTAAAAAGAAAATCATATCCTGGTTGAAGAACTCTTTATCTTTTCTGATAACAATTTTATTGTTGGTTATTTAACTGCCCTGTCAATAACGAGACGATATATGATAGACATGTTAATGAATTTGGAGCAGTTGGTGGAACTGGAATTGGTAGGAGGAACAGACGTACTCGGAGAGTACATGTTCCCATGTCAATTTATCCATCACAAATACAACATGACCTGATCTGGAATAGAAACCAGGACGCCATGATGTGAAGCTGACACAGAGAACACCCCGCACTCAGTAACAATGAATAATGGATTAATGGTATTTAGGGAAAACCTTTGTTTTTTTTTGTAAGAAAGAAACTAATCCCGCGAATAAACTATGAGGTCGAGATGCCATGTTATTTGACGTTAAAGCGGTGCACATAGCAGTCAATCACATATGATGACTCCACACTGTACCTGTACTTCAAGAGACCGTGCATATACTTACCAAATGCAGCCCAGCCATCGTATCTCCTCCATACTCTGTCATTAACACCGGCTTATTGTATTTCTTATGCCAGTTCAGAGCCTCTTCTTTGACGTTCTGTATTATTGTGTCGGTTCTCCCACTGTTGACATACCAAGCGTTGTATCGGTTGAAACCGATCACATCCATGAACTCGCCCTGGAATAATCAAGTATCAGCTGATGATAACAATCAGCCACAAGCACTAGATTCATTTTTGCCCTTTGAAATTCGATCAGCTTTGCTCCCTTTATCTCTTCCTCAGTCTCCCAAATACAGGGGACTCCCTTCAGTTTCTGTCCCCATCAGTTTTCAGGCATTCTCAAAGTGCGAACCGATTAGGCCACCTTTAAAAGCTAAGTTGCTTTGCGGATGCTATGCGCGTTAATTTTCTTTCTTTCTTCATCATTTCATATCCGTTCAAGGGGGCACGCGTAGCGTAGTTGGTTGAGAGGCTATGCTACAAGCCGGAAGGTCGCGGGTTCAAGTCCCGATGAGGTCATTGGATTTTTTTCAATTGACCTAATCCTTCCAGCCGCACTATGGCCCTGGGGTCCACTCAGCCTCTAACAGAAGTGAGTGCCAGGAATTAATTAAATAATTTTCCTGGGGAGTAAAGCGCGGCCGGCGCGTAAGGCTAACAACCTTACTGCCATCTTTGAGCCGATTGTCTAGAGAATGTGGGACCCTCAACGTCTCACAACCCTATGGGCTTTACAGCCTGGTACAGGGATAGCTTTACTTTTTTTTTTACATATCCGTTCAAAATGTTACGTCTAAATTAAATGGCAGTAAGTGCAATTTTAATTTCACTTCATAAATCTTACAAAGAAAGGTGCGATATTCTAAAATTCTGAGGACATATTCTCCGAATATGTTTAATTTCTATGATAAGTTGACTTTGTCGCGTCCATGGTGACTTTGTGTTCTTAATTATTTTTAATTCTAGCATCTAGATTACAAGCCAATGTGCAACATTCGAGAAACACTACCCAATTAACAGACTTCATATGTCCATAACCCTGAACGATTACTTTGTACAAATACAGTATTTCTATATTTATATTAATCGCCAACCTAACATAGCTAAGCGTGTGTAATGTTTTGTTGGGAAATGAACGTACATACTGCGAATTCTTCCTAATCATATCTTATATTTTAGTATGTCAACACGTTAAAAATGCTAAATGCTGAAATCATTAAGATCGACGTTCAGGTATTTATCTCTATAATGTTCATACTGTTCTGTGTCGTACATAGGATATAGCAGGGGCAAATATCTCAATTTCTGTTCAATTTTAATTTTAACTTTTACGGTCTAAACATCAAGTTTTAATTGTAAATTCAAATTGTGTATATAAAACTCACAAGAACACAGTATGGGTCCATATTAAACTAAGATGCAATTCAAGAACTAATTTTAATATTTTTATACTCTTGATGTTGGCCCAACATGAAGGTCGAAACATTAAGCGTCAACAGACAATAAACAAATGTTAATACAGTAGTAATTTTTTTTTATATTTCTGTGTAGACTGCCCCATTATATGGGTTATATATCCTACATGTTCAGGCATTTATCTGGATATATATCAGTCATCACGGAAAATATTTCGATAAATAAGTGGTCGAATGTAAGCCCTTGTTCAGGTTGCGGATGGAGCACCTGACGCCTAGACATGAAGGGTAAAATCGATTAGGCCAATATTGAGTATGCAACCGCGGACGTCTGCTGAGGGGAGCTCTTCCAGTTTTGGGGTTGGATGGAGGGCTAACAGCCCCTCGCCGTTAAAGAAGTCTTGTACAGGGCCGCGGATTTGGACCGACTGTTTGAGACTACCTAGCGGGCTCCTGTAAACACAGTAACGAACCTTCTGATTCAGCAAAAGGAGGGGAATTCGCTTGACTGCCTGAGCGAACGTTGCGTCTCAAGACTTGTGATTCATGGGCTTAGTGATGTGTGTATCTCACGTAACTTGAGTCGTTTTGAGAAACATGATAAAACTTCACACAGCTTACTCGATATAAGAGAATTCCTCCCCGCTCTTAACTGTTTCAGTGTTTCAATTGTAATCACAACAGATTTCAATGAGAAAATATTGCCTTTCTGACCTGAATTTATCTTCAATTTGCAAGGACTCCTCTGCACTTGACTGCTAAAGCTAGTTGTGCCTTTTAAAATAGAAATATGCATATAGATTACCATGGAGACTTTTCAACAATAAGATTTCAGAAAGAACTTAGCATGGAACAAGTAGTACCAACCGCTAGGTCCAAGTTGCACGGTTTGTTGAGGGCCATTGTAATGGGCCGAGAAATGTCCAGAGCTTTCATGTGATCAGCAATGTCACTGAAAGAAAATAAATCACTTCAGTTCCTGAATATCTACATATTAAAACACATAGAGAAAAATATAAGACAAAAACCTGTGTTACTGGGGATTACCTGGAAATTCTCCCGCTCGAGCGTGTTGTCTAACGGGTCGCACTCTACCTTTGTAGTCTGGAGAACCAGGATTCAAATTCCTTCCCGGAGGCCAACTGTCCTAATTGGGGTTTTTCAAGATTTTCTCAGTCCGTCCAGGAGAACTCCGTGATACTACCTCAAATTAGGCTTCAAACCATCCTAAAATTCGACGCTCCTTCAGTAAACCATAACTCCTCCGTGGCCTTTAGTCCACAAATGAACTATACCGACCGAGCTACCGCCGCTTGTCGGCGAAGTTAGTGCCAACTTCTGCGGATAGATGGTGTCGCGTGGTCAGCGCAACGGATTCCCATGGCCGTTAATCTCGGTTTTCTAGACCGGAAGTAAACCATAAATACGTGTGTAGAATTTGAGGTTCTCACAGCGGTGATTATGAATCGGCTTATTTGCTGGGGTATAACGCCATGCAGTCCTTTTAAATTTAACCTACGTTTCGGAGCAACATATCGGCCAGGTTCTGCTTGCTACCTGTTCCATGCTGGTTTCTTGTTTGGCCTCTTCTTCGATCCTGAAAGTGGAGGCGATATGTTCGTCCGAAATTCTGGTTGACTGTTAACAGGCTGCACAGCCTTTTGTCTCGGAAGTTAGTGCTCATCATAAAGTACATAAATTAAACCGAGGGTGATGGTCGTAAATGAATTTGACCCAACCATACGCAGTCACAGTAAGGTTTAAAACACAATATATTTCACACAAATTAGTTAACTAATTAACATTATTAGCTGAAGAGCACAAATTATAATGCCCCTTACGTAATCTCTCCAGTGCGTCTAAAAATAATACTACGAGTATATATGATTCTAAAATTTGTTGGCAACTGCGTAGTTCCTTCGTCGGGACAAATTCTTTGAACATTAACCTTTTTTTTTTACACATTTCTTATACACAATCGGCAGGAGCCGGGGTAGCGCAGTCGGTATAGCGACTGGCTACGGGCTGGACGGCTGAGGGGTCGGAGTTCGAGTACGGGAAGGGTCAAGTATCTTCTCTATTCAACGTCGTCCAGACCGGTTCTGGGGTCCACCGAACCTCCTATCCAATGGATACCAGGGGCTCTTACCCAGGGGGGTAAAGCGGCAGGGGCGTGAATCTGACCACTAACCTGCAGCGAGTGAAGAGGTTAAGAAAATATGGGTCTATACATCCCTCCCCCATACGCGTTCATGACGTAATGTTTAATTAGTTAAGCACAGGGACAACTTTACCTTTATATCCAACCTTCAGAGTATGTAATAAATGTATATGTTCAATAAATACTGGGCCGTGAATGACATCCCCGGTGTGTCACTCATATGCTTTTCTTTTTGTTCATGCCTTAGACTCCGCGGCCAGTGTGATCGGCTCACCACTGTGATGTGCCCTTCAGTAACAGTGTCAATAAAAGTGTTAGCGCAGAAAGGAACTTAATGTCATGAACTTTAAATATCTCAGCATTAATATTTACTGGTTTTACTAGAAGAGGTTTAGCGATGTATTTCGGGAGACAGACCGCAAGCCACTTTAGTTAATTACTGAGTTAGCCATTTAGATAATATTTACCGGAAGTAGCCATAAGCCTCTGGTGACGCCGTCAAGGCCTCGTTGGCGACAGACCACATGACAACACTCGGACGGTTCTTGTCTCTGCGATGCAGTCTTGTTAACGCTGTCTTATGGGCTTCCAGCAGTTCGTCTTTGAAGCCATAACTTCTGTTAAAAAGAAATTAAGGAAACATAATACATTGTGTACATATGAGGCAATGTTATTTCGTCATCAATTTGTATGTTTAATATCCGATATCCTTGAATATATTTTGATTAAATTTTGTATAGGAGGATCTAATGTAAATTTGTCACATGATTTTAATTCTGATCTACGTAAGTCTGGCATGCCTGATATAAAATACAGATCTCTTTCAATTCTAGACACTTTTTTTTTTTTTTCAAATACGATTATGTATTACTTGGTAAAATAGATCCACATCTTGACATCGGCACTAGTTGCAGGTGAGCGGGCAGCTTCACGCCCTGGTAAACAGCCCGTTGCTGGGTAATGCGTATAGAAACACGCGACAAGAATGAAAAGTGTTTTCTATGTGGTCCTTGCCGAGACTGTTTGCTAGGCAACTGCATGATAACAGGCCTCTACAATAGCGGGGCTGTGTTTTCTGTGTTGCGTGGTGCGTGTCGGAAATTTATAAAAGACAACGAAGGTCGTTTGGAGTCAAACCCGTGTGGAGGCGAGTCGTAGGAGGCGACGAAAAGGGAAGACTCAAATCTGAAACAGTAAAATATGGTCGCGAGTCCCAAAGGACTAAGTAGCGTTGTTGGTTGAGAGGCTATGCTACAAGCCGGAAGTTCGCGGGATTCAAGTCCCGATAAGGTCATTGGATATTTTTCAGTTGACCTAACACTTCCAGCCGCACTAGGCCCTGGGGTTCACTCAGCCTCTAACAGAAATGAGTACCAGGATTTAATTAAATAATTTTCCTGGGGAGTAAAGCGCGGCCGGCGCATAAGGCTGACAACCTCACCGCCATCTTTGAGCCAACTGTCTAGATAATGTGGGACCCTCAGCGTCTCACAACCCTATGCGCCTTCACGGCCTGGTACAGGGATAGCTTTACTTTACTTTTTTACTTTACGTATGAATTCCACGCATAATATTTTGCGCCTCTTTTCCTCAGTTTTTCCATTCAAATGACAAGATAATGGATTGAAATAGGCCAAAGCCTCCTTCCAAGTCCTTCTCTGCTCACCGATCATCATGATCTTAATCTTTCATTCACCGTCGTACAAACTGGAGTTGAAACTGCCGTTAAATGGTCCAAATATAAAAAAGAATTGTAAAAATTAAGGTTACCCAATGTCCACACCAGGACACTCGTTTATTATCATGATTCCCTCTCTGTCTGCGAAGTCCATGATCTCCTCTGAGTAAGGATAATGCGAAGTTCTGTAGGCATTAGCTCCGATCCACTTTATCAAATTGTAGTCACGGGTAATCAGCGGATAATCGTGGCCCTTGCCTCTGATCTGTAATTATGAAATTAATATTAGCTTGTTTTAAGAAACCAGTTAACTCTGTAGAGTCTCTGTCCTGATCTACATGAATTGAGGCCGAACACTCATATTCTATTTGCATAGGATCCATTTTAATATTATCCTTCCATCTACTCGTAGGTCTCCCAAACGATTTCATCCTCTAAGATTTGCGGGAAGAAATTTTGTAGCTATTTGCAATTACCTCCCAATTCCTGCTACATGTCTCATCAGTGTCTCATCCATTTTGATGTAACCCCATAATGTAATTAAGAGACGAATGCAGTCCCCTCCCTCTCTTTTAAGTCCAAATATTAGTCTGATTCCTATTAATATAAAGGTCACCTGGCTGAGGATAGGGTTCGGTGTGTGACCTTGTGAATATGGTAATAAATTTTCGGGTTCCAAAAAATTCGGGAAACTTCTTCACCGGTTGAGCGATTAAGAGCTTTTCAGGAAGGATTTTGTTCCTTGAAATAGCTTAGTTTTACTAAATAACAATAATTAGTTTGAAGAATGAAGTCTTCTGGGATGTAGCGCCGTGTAGATCTAGTGTGAACTGACGTTTCGGAGGTACGTATCGCGTGTTCAGGGTAGAGAGAAACCAGCGCGAGAAGTGGCTAGCAGTCTGCTAGTCACTTCTTCAAAGTCACAGCTGTGAAGACCTCAAATTTTAACAAGAATTAGTTTAATAAAATATTTGTCTTTATGTTTTTTACAGACCAAATAATTTCATATGATAGGATGTTAGGTTGGAGCACGCGGTAGCGTAGTGTGTTGAGGGGCTATGCTATAAGCCGGAAGGTCGCGGGTTCAAGTCCCGATGAGGTCATTGGCTTTTTTTTTTAATTGACCTAATCCTACCAGCCGCACTAGGCCCTGGGGTTTACTCAGCCTCTAACAGAAATGAGTACCAGGAATTAATTAAATAATTTTCCTGAGGAGTAAAGCGCGGCCGGCGCGTAAGGCTGACAACCTTACCGCCATCTTTGAGCTGATTGTCTAGATAATGTGGGACCCTCAACGTCTCACAACCCGATGGGCCTTCAAGGCCTGGTACAGAGTTAGCTTTACTTTTTTACTTTACTTTAGGATGTTAGGTTATCGCAGCGGTGGTTATGAAGAGTTCTATCTTCTAGGACATAAAGCCATGGAGTCCGTTGAAATCTAACCGACGTTTTGGAGGTTTCTTGCTTGGCTTATTCTTCGAAGCTGAAGTTGGAGTTGGCATAATCCTCCGAAATGCCGGTTGACTTTCAAAGGACTAGAGACATTATGCCACAGAAGTTAGAACTGTTCGATTTAATGCTTGTTTTCTGGCGAGCACTGTTCCTCAACGAAGATAAAAAAATTAAATGAGTAATACTAATTTCTAAAGGGTTCTGATTTGTAATACTCAGAATTACTGGGTTTTCGGACTTTGTCCGTCGTCCGGTATTCTAGAAACTAGAGATCACAACGTTTCGGAAACTGGATCTATTTCCGTCCTCAGGTGAGGGGGAACACCTACTCTGTTGGGTCCCTTAGAAAGAGCTAACATCAATCACTGGACAACCCCTGTCAGATCCACTACAGCTATTTAATTACCTGAGATAAGGCTAATTCGGAGGGAGATAACAAGAAAACATACAATAAAAATTGTGATAAGGCACACACATTCGTGGAACTAGGATACAGAGGGATGTATAGATGTATGCTACAAATCTAGCTTCTAGAACACATATGAATTAAACTGTTATCCTGACATTGCCTCACCGCAGAATCCTCGTGTCGGCCGAAACCTCTTATGTAGATCGCTTTGCCGTTCATAGTGACACTGGTGTTGGTCCACCCCAGCTTCCTTATTCCCACCGGCAGGCGGTACACGTCTTCGGGCACTGCACTCTCTGTGGATGTTCGAACCTGGAAGAAGATTTGAGGATTTCCGACAGCCATTAACATACGAGGATCTGACGCTGCAGAAATGTTTCGATATATCGACAGCAGGTAAAGTAAGGACTAAAACTGCAAAAATATGTCTTCACACGTATGTGGACAGCAGGGAATTTGCAGCATCACAAGGAGCATGAAGATATATGATGCAGAATTCTCATGAAAAGCCAGTAGTCACTCAGCCAGTCAACAAATTCCACTTCTGAATGTTTATTACCGAGTTCACTCAAGTTAGACATTAAACACAATCACGAGACAGTTCAATCCGGTTCATAACCTCACACCATACGTCTCCAAGATCCACTTTTAGTCTACTTTCCTTATTTTGAAAAAATATAAGTAGGCTTATGAGGTCAACTTGCTATCTGTGTCTCTTCATGAAACTTGGTATGACTATCATGACACCTGAGCCCATCTGAACGGCTTGCTTCATAAATCCCTCCCATCAGTCAGTGTTTGTATGTGTATCTCCCTTGTAGTTGTTATGTAACGGCTCAGTAGACACGTTTCCGCGCCAATGAACACATGAAATAATAGAAGAAATGTTGGAAGCGTCGTTTTCTATGCGGTCCGTTTCATATCAAAGTACAGTCTGTGAGTCTGTCTGTATATTGCTACTTTTTATGTAAGTACCACCGTAGCAATGGTCTGAAGACTCCCACATCCGCCAGACAGTAAAATATGGTCGTGAGTCCCGTGGTACTCGGAACCAATAATCACTGTACTGGCGAGGCCCAGCAGCTATTTTCTGAACTGGACTTCACTGTGTATCCCCCTATTATTGTTAGGCAACGGTTTAAAACATGTTCGGACGGCAGCGAAATATTGTTGGAGGCGTCGTTTGCTATGCGGTCCGTGTCGCATCAAAGGAACGTAGGCAATAAGTTTTTCCCAGAACTTCTTGTAATACTTTCATGCCACGTATGTCTAGGAACTCCAGTTGATCCCATTTACGATTTAGGATTTACAAACAGAATTATGTATTCATTTCTCCTCTCTCCATGCGTGCTGCATGCTCCCGTCCTCATATCCGTGTTTAATATCCGTACCAGTAAAGTGTCTCCTGTCACCATAAGTCCATGTTCTTGTCAGATCCAGTTTCACTGGACATAGCTACTATTTCAGGCACAATTTTACGTAGACCACAGCGATACGCGGTGGAAGGAGATCGTACCTTACACAGAATTAGGTGCGAGAAGGCCTACAGAAACGACTCTTGTCTTTGAGGATGGCATTTTTAATGTTCGTCAATGGTTATGCTGTATATCTTCAAGGTTCCAATGCTTGAAAATTAATTAATTCCTGTAAAAAGTAAATTTGTCACTGTGCTTAAATACTTAAGCACTATGCCATGAAGGGGAGTGGAGGTACAGCTCCAACATTCTTCGACCTCGGAACTAGATGGAGTGAGTGGTCAGCTTCACGCCCCGGCTACTTTAACCCCCGGGGAAACAGTTCCCAGTACACATTGGATAAGAGGATGAGTAGGACCCACATTTGCTCTCGGCTCTGTTAAGAAGAGAGAATTCTTGCCTCTACGGAGAATCGAACCCCGGCCTTCCAGCACGCATGGCGTCGCTATACCAACTGGAATGATGTCCTGATGCAGAATAAGAAAAGGAAATTACATGAATAGAGTATGCCTTACGTAAGTAGGATACTGCAACCAGTGTCAACGCACGCCCATGTTAGGTGGGTCCCTCGTCACCTCGGCATGGCGGATCCTCAGGTTGCGGATGGAGGAGACGCCCTCCAGTTTTGGAGGGAAGCTGTGAATATATTGAATAAGCAGTCGCGAAGAGCCGACAAGGGGTGGCCCTCCAGCTTGGGGGTTGGGCGTGGGGCTAACAACTCCTCGCCGTAAAAAATCATTATGTTACGACTGGACTGATTCCTTGGAAGAAGAAGTCACAGGAAGTTGGAGAAAACTGCATAATGAGGAGCTTCATAACTTGTACTCTTCTTCATGTATAATTAGAATGATCAAGTCAAGGAGAATGCGCTGGGCAGGTCATGTAGCACGAATGGGGGAGACGAGGAATGCGTATAGGATATTGGTGGGAAAGCCAGAAGGAAAGAGACCACAGGGAAGACCAAGGCGTAGGTGGGTGGACAATATTAGAATGGATCTAAGAGAGATAGGATGGGATGCTATGGATTGGATAGATCTGGCTCAGGATAGGGACCAGTGGAGGGCTCTTGTGAACACGGTGATGAACCTTCGGGTTCTATAAAATGCTGGGAAACTCTTGAGTAGCTGTAGAATTGGCGGCTCCTCCAGAAGGGCTCAGCTCCATGAGTAAGTAAGTAAGTAAGTGTCAACGCACGCACCAATTGGTGGCATAGATGTGGAGCTACGTAGATCACGTGGGAGCATTCCGCCTGAGTCCGGACTGGCCGATAAACTGTCTTATAGCTGACGGCAACGATAGTCATTACAAACATAAAGTATGGGAAAGAGGTTCTTGTATATGGCGTGAGAAAATATGATAATATTGTGACATGACGGCTGAAAGCCCAAATGGTGGAGCCGGAGCAGACGTCCATTGCTGGACAATGGCTCGGTAATCATGTTTACGCGGCAATGAATATTCACAAAGACTAGTTTTCGTTACAACGAATAGCAGCGAACGAGTCTTTGCCAGGTCACTAAACAAAGTCATTCCCGTCACAACAGAGGAATTGTTCGACATGGTGACTCATATCCCCGCCGCGTGGCAGTCATAAAAGGCAGTGCATTCGTGAATTCGAGGAGTAGAGATCAGTCCGAGATTGGTGAGAGATTCGTCAGACAGACGCCTTTCGGAAGGAGTTCAATGTATAAACTGTAATAATCAGCTGTAATTGTAAAGAAGTGCCAATAAATCGAGTCATCACATGCAGAACGCATTATTATTAGTCACACCAACCCCTAATACGTGACAATATGTTGCAACAGCATACAAAAGTCGGATTATAAAATTAATCAGCGCGTACAGAATGGAAGTTTGTTTCTGTTACCTCTAGTGTATACAGGTATGCAGGTTCGGGATTCATTAGATAGGGCCACCACAGTCTAGCCTGAGGAACTTGCAGGTTCCCCTGATCTCCCACGACGTTTCGGATGACATAGTTACCATCCCGATCTAGAAGACTCACGGAAACAGTTGCACGTGTCTTGGTATCTCCGCCAACACGGACAACATACTCAATTACCCCTGCAAACAGGAGTAGTAAGTGCGCATACTTATTAACTGGAGCTTCCATCTGCCGGGAGTAATGGAGAACAAATGTCTGGGTCGGTATCTCTCTCCCAAACTGAACAAATTGGCACAGTGGCAATATTCTGCTCATGTAGCTAAATGGTAACCACATGGTCCAAACCCGATTTGCTCTAGATACAAATACTATTGTTAAGATAATAAATAGCACCTAAATAAAATTGTGTAGTGACATAATTTGATTTTGTGAACGAAACGTTTTGCCAGACGACAGAGGCTACATTGCACTGGTACAGGCGACTTACCTGTGTCATCATTTACATCTGTATTCACTGATATGTCATCGATATAGATGCTGGGAGTCGTGTACAGCACTACAGGTCTGTGGATACCGGCGTAGTTGAAAAAGTCGAATTTGTAATACTGGACAAACCTGGCACCGGCATCGCTGCAACGGCAAATCATGAGAAATATGTAATATTATCATCAATAAAAATGACGAACAACAATCATCTAAACGGTGATGATACTGCTACCACTACTACTGCTGATGATGATGATGATTCGAAATTGTAAAGTCCCTTAGTGGGGGGTGGAGTCCAACTGGGTCCACTCGGCACTGCGGCCATTGATTGGCCTATTGTACCAGCCCCAGATGATAGGTGAGGGTGATTGTGGAGCAATTGGTGGAATGAAGATGGGCAGGGGAAGCCGAAGTACTCGCAGAAAACCCGCCCCAGCGCCACTTTGTCCACCACAAATCCCACTTGACCAGACCCGGGATAGAACCCGGGACGCCGCGGTGGGAAGTCAGCGACTAACCGCTTGAGCTGCGGCACGGCCCTGCTGATGATGATACTGCTAATAATAATAAAATAAAAATAATAAACATATGTATAAGATTGGCCTGTTGAGGAAACACATGGCCATCACGGCAATCATGTAGAGTGAATACAGGAAGAATAACAAGCTTTAGGGGCTTCCATCTATAAACAAAAAAATGCTTCTCAGCAAAAGATATGAGAAAGTTTGGGCCGGTGTTTCGGCACAGATACATAGGGCGATACATTTAACAAATATTTGTTTCTGTTTCTCTCTCTAGGTTAAATTGAAATTAATTTTTGCTCATCTTCTGTTCATAACGCGACTATTTCATTTGTAGCAGTAACCTAAACGCACTATCGAATAATATAAATGAAATTGGTTTAAAATTCCTGATATTTTCATCAAAGTGTTTGGAAATTTTGTCTTATTGCGACGAAGTATTGAGAAAGTTGATATGTTTGTAACGGAGAAGAGGGGCAAATTCCTATCTCCTGGGGCGGCATTTGGACTGGCGTCGGTCCTGCAGAAAATGAGTCACATCTGCAAGCAGCCGGAAATCCCATGGGATCAAATATAGAACTATCAAAATACTTCCATAGAAACAAATTCAGTCAACGAGTATATTCAAAATGTCGCCATTTTTCTTTTATAACTAACGTGAACATAGGTACTGTTACTAATGAAATGTCTGAGCCAGTTGATGAGACAATGTTTCATAGTATATAGGCTTTCGGATAATCTGAGTATCGTCTTAGCAGGCAGCTGAGTCTAGAAAATGTTGTACGAACATTTAGAGTATCCTGAAATTTCTGATCACCTCCAGACGTCTCAAGGAGTAAAGAACAGCTGAGAATTGAAACCAGCATATCGCGTCAAATGTCGAACAAACGTTACTAATCTAAGCGCTGTCTTCGTCGAGTTCCAGAAGACATTTGGCAGAGTACCGCAGTCGTGGTTTTATATTAATAATAATAATAATAATAATGAGGTAAGATGAAGCTATCCCTGTAACAGGCCATGAAGGCCCATTGGGTTGTCAGGCGCCGAGGCTCCCAGATGGCGGTAAGGTTGTCAGCCTTACGCACCGGCCACCCTTTGCCCCCGGAAAGATTCCTGGTACTTATTTCTGTTAGAGGCTGAATAAACCTCAGGGCCATAGTGCGGCTGGAATAATTAAGTAAATTAAAAAATCCACCTCATCGGCATTCGAACACGCGACCTTCGAGACTGTAGCATAGCGCCTCAACCAACTGCGCTACCGCGTGCCCCACAACAATAATAATAATAATAATAATAATAATAATAATAATAATAGTTGTTGTTGTTGTTGGCCATTGGCTTTTGAACTCAGCATTTAAAGAAATAAAATAATATTACATAATTTTTCCTGTGCAGTGAAATGTATGGAATCCAGCAAAATGTTGAAACAAATGGCATCCCAAGTACAGACCGAAGCTGTGATGGTGTCTGGCTGACACGCTCTAATGGCATGACTGAGGGAAAAGGTAAGCTGGAGGTAGAGCTCCATGTATTCTGATATAAATATGCCGCAGCGGCACTTTTCCCGCCACAAATTACATGTGGACACTTTTAATCGATATACTGTCCTGGTATTCTACTGGATAAGGAAATCCGTAAAACCACGAGCAGCTTTGGTCAGGACATTCGCTTATTCCACAGAGATTCGAACCGGGTATCTACAGCGTCACTTCAGTTGGACTATCAACCATATTCCAGACAAGAATGAAAATTCCATCTGGAGAATCGACCGATATGTATGGGGTGCTTAACCACGGATTAATGGTTGCAAACTTACGTCTGAAGTTGTTGCACTTCTCCCTGGGGCACGGTGATGTCCGTTAAGGTGTTGTTGACCGCCACGGAGATGAGGTTCTTCTGTCCGTACTGAAGAACAGACGTGACATCAGCCTGAAAAGGGACATGCCCTCCGGCGTGACTCGCCACCAGTTCGCCATTCACAAACTGCAGAGACAAACAAACCTTTGAATTCGGAATTATAAATGAATCTCTGACAGATGAAATGAACTTTAAAGAGAAAGACATAAATAAAATGTGTGTGATGACATTCCAGTTGGTCCTAAATCGTACAAGATCATCGCAAGTGGACACAACAGACGTACCACATCAGCAGCGTAGTGGACGCCGGCAAAGCGCAGCCAAATCTTCGTGTCGGATGAGTTCCATTTCCGTGGTATGTAGAAGGTTCTGTCATACCACGCGACCCCCACGTGGTCCCTGACCACCTTGTCTTGAGTGATGTCGTTGTAGCTCGCAGGGACGGGCATAGCGATCGTCCGTCCCGTCTGAAACCAGCAACAGCTAAGTTCAAGTACCTGCGCCCTCAGCATAATAATTGGTGACTCTGACCACATACTTGTGTCCCTGTATTGGAGCCAGCACTGTGCTCGGCAGCAAGAAAAATATCCTCGGTTGGCCAGACATAAACAAACAAAACAAACTCCGTGGTTTTAGTCCGCAAGCGAACTATACCGACAGAGTGACCGCAGCTTGTCGGCGAGGTGAGTGCCAAATTTAGCGAATAGAGGGTATCGCGTGGTCAGTGCAACGAATCCCCGCGGCCGTTAATTTCGGTTTTCTAGACCGGAGCCGCTATTTCCTTGAAATAGCTCCTCAGTTATCCTCACGAGGCTGAGTGGACCCCGTTCCAGACACACTACTTCTCAGAAAATCTGGTAGCGGCAGGAATCGAACCCAGAACTCTAGATCTGTAGCCAGGAACTCTGACTACTAAACCACAGAGGCGGTCCAGACATATATTAACTCAAAAGCAATACAAAGCACAGCCTTATTCTGACTAATTGAACAAACTTCACGAAACTGGCTCCACCATTAGAAACTTGTCAAGAAATTCCGCACCTTCTGCAAGTTACCGTGTTCACAAGATCCTGCTATTGGACCCTGTTCTGAAGCAATTACAACCAATCCGTATACTGACACCCTACTTCTGTAAGATCTATTCAAATATTACCCCCCCCCCCCCAACTATGAAATCCACAATTATCTTACCCGTTGAGGGTTTCCGACTACGCTTTCTTAACGCATATTTCAAAAGCGTAATTACAACTCTCTTTTTACAAATATTACATAATGTCTAAGTCTGCTTGATTCGTCGTACCTTATTTCCCCGAACTTTCATCGTAGTAAGAAACAAATAAAGGAAGAAGAAGAGATACAATTAAGGGAAGAAGTAAAGATCAACAAATAGAAAGACAATATAAATGAAATAAAATAAAGACGAACAGGAAGAAACAGGTAGGAAAAAAGACTACGAAGATGCAAGGGGAGAAGCTCCACACGTGCGTATACGGGGACCTACGTGCTATTTCATGTGCACATAGAAATAAAGAAGAGAAGGGGAAAAGAGAAACAACAGAGAACTCACCTTCCTTAGCTCCTGTTTGTACCAGCCTTCCCGGTGTCCAACACTTGACTCAGACTCGTTGGCAAGGCGGAACGCCCAGATGCCGTCCAGGGAATGAATAATTCGAGATTCTGATTCTGTAGGATAGAGTATACCGTCTGCTGCCACAAGAGAAGTCATCAGCATCGTGACGAGGGGCGCTGACAGCCACTGCACGCACCCCATGCTGATTACGTACAGCAGGAATCACTACAGAGAGAAGCTAAGACACAGGTCGAGCAGTTGCTTCGAGAGGACAGGCTGTGTGGTGTTCACGGATTTCGCTCTCCTGTGATACTCGGCAATCAGTATCGTGACGGGGGCGTTCCCACCTCATGACTCAAGATACGGGGGTTCAAACCCGGCGGAGGTCGTGGAATTTTTAAGGGCGGAAAAATTCAGGGAACAAGTCCTCCGGGAGGGACTTGAAGCCGTGGGTCCCGTGTCGTAGATTTACGGCACGTAAAAGAACCTCATGTCTCTAGGAGACCTCTGAGCAAAATTAAGCAAAGTTTCCCGCCCAAGTAGTTTCCAGTGCCTCCGGTAGATGGGGGAACTATCGGGTACCGAGGGCCGACCTCGTTGGCTGAACGGGGCTGCTAGCAACCACCAGTACCGGTAGGGTATGTCGACTGGTAGAATATCAAAGGGGGACCTACAATAGACTATTAGTCGCGGTGCATGGGGAAACCCACCCCCTCCAATAATAATAATAATAATAATAATAATAATCGTGACGGGGGGCGCAGATAGCCACTGTTCGCACCCCATGCTGATTACCTACGGCAAGAATCACGACAGGGAGAAAATCAAAGACACAGGTCGAGCAGTTGCTGCGTGAGGACAGGCTGTGTGGTGTTCACGGATTTCGTTAACTTGTAACACTCGGCATAGCAATTTGTAAAATGATTCGATACAGGCTTCAAGACCTGTCTCAATGCTCGAGAGTGGCAGTAGCAGAGAACATGTGTGCTTCCCAATTCACATAGCTTAGACTCTGTAAATATGGCAGTCAGCTACGATCAAAACGGTTTTTAATATTTCTCACGTTGTTGCGGCTGCACACACCTTGGGTTTGGCACGTGACTAGGATGGAAGAAACAATGAACTGATGGATTATAATGGAGACCCTGTTGGAAAAAATGAATTTGGAAAAGAGAGAAGGAAATAAAGGGTGAAATTAAGAATCAGAGGCTGATGGAACTGATTCGGAACAGTGTTAAATGGCGGGCTTTGGTACTAACGGTGGTGAAATTCCGGGTTTTTTCCAGCGAGATGTTAGTTAATTTGTTAGTTATAAACGATACCTCAGACATTGAACATTTTCAAATGTAACTAAAATATAATGAGTTAAGCGTTGGCACAAACCTTTCAGAATCAGTAGGAAATACCACCTCTCGTATTTAGTGGTCCGGATGGTTGCAGTTTGGAATCTGCTGTAAGAAATGAAGTTCCTTTCTTGGATACCTGTTGCAAGTCTAGGCTGTTCAGAATTTGCTGATGTCTGTAGCCAAACTGAAGAATAACATCTACATAGCTGAGAGGCACTTCCTGATAACTAAGTCAGTGTAAACAGATGAATCACCCATGAATCAACAAACCTTCTTTCATTTCTTATTGATAAGAGAGAAGCTGAATATATTCCCGCTGTTTACTGATCCGTAAATTCAAAGAGAACATTCTTCCTGATCCTGCAAGTGTAGTCTAGAATACGTTCCCTGGTTCTGGCACGTACATCCACAGTGCATGGTCTTTCTGGAAAATAATATTACTTTCTTTCGCCTCGTCAAAATTTCTCCTTTTTCATAGAACCCGAAAATATTTTACTTTGTGAACTAACGCCATCTTTATTCAAGTTCAACTAAATCCAGTCCGTAACCTCACATCCTACTTTCATGAGATCCATTATACCCAAAACAAACAACAAACTCCGTGGCTAGAGTCCGCAAGCGTACTATCCTCTGTGGTTTAGTGGTCAGAGTTCCTGGCTACAGACCCAGAGGTCTGAGTTCGATTCCCGGCGCTACCAGATTTTCTGAGAAGTAGTAAGTCTGGAACGGGTTCCACTGACTCGTGAGGATAACCGAGGAGCTATTTCAAGGAAATAGCGGCTCGGCTCCAGTCTAGAAAACCGAGATTAACGGCCATGGGGATCCACTGCGCTGACGACGTGACACCCTCAATCCACAAAAGTTGGCAAGAACTTCGCCGACAAGCGGCGGTCGCTTGGTCAGTCTATTACACCCACGTCTCATAACCATCCAGCCGTCTCATTGTTTCACACGTTCTCGTAACACGTTCTTGTTTATTTGTGTGATTATTTTTCACGCGAGCGAGGAACCAGCGTGGGCAGGTGTCGTCATTCGCTGATTTTTCTTCCACCCTGAAGATGGAGGCGATACGTTCCTCCGAAACGTCGGTTAATATATCTACAAGGTGCCACATCCCAGAGGACGGCTTTCTTCAAAAAGATATATCTTTGTATTGTTGCTTAATTATATTTCCTAGCGAAATATTACTTTCAATTCAGACATTGTTATTTATTTTTTCGTTGAAAGTCATAATTCCGTAGCAGAAGAAGTCTGGAAACACAAGTGTGGGTAAGCCCAATCTGTCGAGACTCAGTAACGAGAAATAAAGGGATTTCGGATGAAAAAATAAAAATTGTACTGGATTTTCAGTGGCGGCGATATTGAAAATATTTTGGTAGTAACAGTAATATTACAGGTTAGTCGGAAAACTTACGGTGGTGCTAATACGCAGGTCTCTAATGGCAGACAGGAGAGATGTTCCATTTTTTATATTTGTGATGATAAGGCACAGAGGCTCAACAGTTTTCCACTGCCAAGAGTTATTGCGCTGTATAACATGACACTTCACTGGGGTCAGTTACGTTGCGTTGGTCGATATGCGGGCTCCTGAAATGACGTCAGTCTCTCAAAATTGGAAGTTTCATAACTGTCACGGTATTTCCATGTGGCCGGTGCCGTTTATGGCAGCACAGTTTACTAAGAATGTGTACTTGTCTAGTGGTGCCCTCTTCTGGATTTATTCAGAACTACTGGAAACTCGCTGGCTCGGTCGGTATCATCTGAAACTGGGATATTTAAACTTCTTAATCATACGTGTGATGCAACGTTCCCACGGCGGTAATTATGAAGAATACTATTCAATTGCATGTGATGCTATGCAATATAGTAGGAGCGTAACAAAATTATAGCACATCCGAAAATGTAGTACTCTTTCTATTAATTATAAGGTTTATAGCAGTGTAGAGGTCTCTGACGTTAAGGGAGGAACACAGACTGAGGGTGTTTGAGAACAGGGTGTTGAGAATATTTGAACCAAAGAGAGATGAAGTGACAGGAAGTTGGAGACTGCATAATGTGGAGCTTCATAACTTGTACTCTTCTCCAAGTATAATCAGAATAATCAAGTCAAGGAGGATGAGGTGGGCCGGGCATGTAGCACGAATGAGGAAGAAGAGAAATGCATATGGGATATTGGTGGGAAAGATAGACGGAATGAGACCACTAGAAAGATCAAGGCGTAGGTGGGTGGACAATATTAAATGGACTTTACAGAGATAAGATGGGATGGTATGGATTGGATTGATCTAGCTGAAGATGGGGACCAGTGGAAGGCTCTTGTGAACACGGTAATGAACCTTCGGGTTCCATAAAATGCTGGGAAATTCTTGAGTAGCTGCACAATTGGAGCCTTTTCAAGATGGGCTCAGCTCCAGGAGTGAGTGAGCAGTGTAGAGAGATTATATAATGGAGACACAAAAAATATTATAAATAATAAGCATGTGGGTATTTGAAAGATGGAGATCGTGACCTATTTGGAGATATTATGTCCGCCTTTGTCTGAATAGAAGAACGTTTAGAAAACATCCGGGATAAAGAAATATGTGCCCACTTCCCTAATAAGGATACTGTACGACTTGAAACAACTGGACAACTTATTCCTTAGAATAACAAATGGAACGGAACAATAAACGTGCTGAAAAGTTCTCTCTTCTGTGATTCAACGCCGCGTGGTCCGGTGAAATTGAACCGATGAATCTGAGGATCATTTCGCCACTTTTTTTCAGGGCTCGCTGTCTGCTTCATATTAATTTCTTGTTTTGGCTTACTCTTCTACCCTGCAGATGATAGCGATATGCTCCTGCGAGCTGTCAGTTGACTTTTACAGGACTATACGACCTGACACCAGAGCAGATAGAACGCTACATAGTCACCGAAGTAAAAGCCTCAAATCCATCTCTGCAAATATATTCTGTAGTTCTGAGCAATAGGAAAGGAAGGATATTCTAATGTTCGGAGCAGAAGCGACCCTGAGATAGGTGAATCCAATCTCCCGCCACCCCTCACTTTGCTTGAGATCCGTTTCAGTATCTTCCGATACATAGCACCCAGGCCTTCCAATTTTTTTCCCCCTTCAGTATTTCCTACCAAAATTTTGTAAGTATTTTTTATTTCTCCCTATGTTTTACCTGTCCCGTCCACCATCCTAATAATGTATGGTGGAGAGCACAAATTATTCAGCTACTGCCTCTGACCTGCCCTCGCTTTCTCGCTTTCAATTGCAGGTATTCTAATCAATTCCCTCTTCTCATATATCTCTGTGTTCTCCTCTTAGTGTAAGAGACAAAGGCTCACACTCATACAAACCTACAGACAAAATTAGACGGTTGTACTGGGGATTTCGACTTTGTCCGTCGTCCTGTATTGTAAAATAAGTAAAAAATACAGCGTTTCGGAAACAGGATCTGTTTCCTTCCTCTGGTAAGGGGAGACAACACCTCTATTGGGTCCTTCAGAAAATGCTAACGTCAATTCGCTGACCCAGTGATTGAGGGACCCAAAGTCATGGACTCCTCCCCCTCACTTGAAGACAGAAACAGATCCAGTTTCAGAGGAAGCTGTGTTCTTTATTTGTTTTTTTAGAATATCGGACAGTGGACAAATTGCAAAAACCAAGTAATTCCGAGTGTTATGTGTCATCGTCAGAACCCATTAGAACCTACTATATTTTAATATTTACGTTTTTAGACATCGAGCGAGAAGACGAATTATTCTGAACTAAATGCAAATATTCCCGGAATTTAATTTGCTCCTTCTTCGTGGGTGTATGTTTGACCTGTTGGTCTCGCTCCCAAATATTTCAACTTCACATCTTGGAAACATCTAGTAACTACACCTATGTTACGATTTTGTTCTGAATTTTTGGATTCTGATGACGAGACGTCAACATACGCTTGGCTTTTTTCTGCATTTATTTGTACACCAACCCCCCTTACTTCTGTCGAATAGATCCCTTGTGTCTTTATGGAATGTGTTTTGCCTCAGCCAATTAACATCATCAGCATAGGCAGGGAGCTGATATGTCCCATTCAGTTTCAGTTCATCCTGGTTTTCTTGGACCTTCCTAATGGCGTATTCTATAAGTTAAGTTCAAGTTAAAAAGTAATGGCGATAAAGCATCTCCTTCTTTCGGACCCTTCTGAATAGGAAACGTACCAGAAAATTTTTCAACTATACGATCTTAATTATAGATATCATTTAAACGCATTTGAATTAGCCTACCTTCTTCATGAGTGTACCAAACTCAATGAGAATATCATATCGTACTCCCCTTCTGGTTAAGTCGTAGGCCTTGTTGAAGTCTAAAGCAGAAAATGGACGGTCCCATTCTTCGTCCAGTGTCTTCTAAATAGACACAACAATGCATTTTCTCCAAACTTTTCATTGCTATAAATTTAATTAATTTCGCCTCCTGCTAGGTTCAATTATACTGTACTTTGTTCATTGGCTGATGAATCATACCTATTAACTTTCCAACAGCAGCATCAGCCTTCAAAGTACTAGGCTCGTGTCTGACTGAGTCAACCTAACGACATCAAATCCTGATTCATTTATATTCAAGGGTAGAGTACTGCCACTGGGCAGCTGCCGCCTTCACGACATAGACACCCATCGCATTTACTTATTACTTACAGTGGTCAAGTAGATTGTAAATTGACGTAAAAACAAAAATAAAAAAAAATTATATTCAAAAGCTGACAGAAATACTTCTTGGACCTCTTAAATATGTTGTCGGAATCCTCAAGGAAACCTTCAGTTCCAAAACTTTATCGACTTAAGTCTGGGCTGGTAGCCCTCAATTTATTCATTTATGCTTCAATACAAATTCCTAGTCCTCTTGTTCTTACTGTCTGTTTCAAACTCATCAATTCCATCTTTCAAATATTCAGTTGTTTTTTTGTTTGTTTGTTTTTTGTTTTCCCCTGAAATGACTCACGTTTTACACTGTTTTACTTATCTCCAATTCCTTGGCTTAGATGCTGCAATAATTTTAGTTTAACGTGCTTTCTTTGGTGCTCTGCTTCCGAGCATTTTTCGCCAGTTCGTGGTTCAGGCTGACTGAACTCGTATTTACGCAGACTTTTCTTTTCCGAAATTTTTATATGCTCTGTAATTCTTTCTGAAGCCTACTACTAATTCCCACGTCATAAATCGGTACCTCGAAAGCTGACGCTGTATTTTAGCTTCTACATAATTGTCATTCTTTAAATCTAATTTCTCAATATATTACCTAGCAGTTGGTTTTCCTTATATACTTCACATTGTTGAATACGGGTACTGGTATATATAGGGAACAGAAGTAAAAGTATCCCTGTAACGGGTCATGGAGGCCCATAGGGTTGTGAGACGTCGAGGGTCCCACATTTTCCAGACAATCGACTCACAGATGGCGGTAAGGTTGTCAGCCTAACGCGCCGGCCACATTTACCCACAGGAAGATTCCTGGTGCTCATTTCTGTTAAGAGGCTGAGTCGACCCCATGGCCATAGTGCTGCCGGAAGAATTAGGTCAATTGAAAAATCCAGTGATCTCATCGGGAATCGAACCCGCGACCTTCCGGCTTGTATCATAGTGCCTCAACTAACTACGCTACCGCGTGCCCTAATATGTATAGGGCCTATAATTAAGAGTATCAACTTCTGATAGTCTACATAAGATTTAAGCCTCTCACGGCGGACACGAAGCTGGGTCCGTCTAGCTTCTACGCTGTTACGCAGTGCAGCCTGGCAGAAGTCTGCTTAAACTTCTACGGAACTACAGGGCGTTGCAGCCAAAAAAAAAAAAAAAGATACTGGAATCTTATGTAGATTATTCCATATCGCCGAGAACAGCGTCAGACGCACAGGATATCGGTCCTAGGAGAGTCCACTGCTACCTAATTCGTGAATCAGAGAAGCTGATTATCACTGCCTCGTGGGTAAAGACAGTTTCGCGTAACACAGTTTGCGAATCACTGGACTAATCCATTAAATACCGCTTTCCTAGAGTAATTTGCATTTCAGCAGAAACCGTTTCAACTCTAGGCAGCTCTGCCTCAAAGGAAACACTGGACTGAAGCAACATGGTAAGATTAAAAACTAAGGAGTTTTATCATAAGGAAGATCTCGTGCCTTTTCTGTGGCAATTCAGCAGGGTATTGTGCCCCCACTTTAGCAGAGTGCGCACAGTGTACGGACAGCGATAATGTGAAGCCAGACCCGCGGCGTTGCAAAGGACATTTTATGTACTTATAATTAAATGTATTGCCACGTGATTGAGTAACTATATAAGGGTTTTGGATTGGTGATGGGATTAATTGGACACTTTGATACATATCGCGTGACTACACTTTACATTTCACTATTACTCACACAATAGTTTCCAGTCACACCTTTATGCCTTTGCTTAGTAGCGGTTTCCAACGGCGGACGTTCCCTCTCCTCTGGATTCCCTAACTTTTCCCGGCCTCAGCTACCAGCTTTCAACAGCAACAGCTCAAAACGACCGAATAGCAGCAGTTCTCCAAGCAACTCACTCACTCACCAACCAACTCATTCTACTCCCCTAACTCCCAGGCTGGCGGCCATGTCATACAAATCTCATGCACTTCTCACTGCTGCCTCAAGGCTCTCTCGTAAACGCAGTTGCTACCTGTTATGTAGCTTTGGCTCGGAGCGCAAAGAAAACACCTCCCCCAAAAGTTCTATCCTTGTGTCACGTGGCTATTGTTCGGACCGCGTAGAGAACA